TTTCTTTTGAGGTCCAAGTGTGCAGCAAAGGCATATTTTGTTGTCTCTTTATATAACAATATTAGTTGGTCTTTTAGTGCAAAGGAGATCCAAACTTATGATCTTCTTATGGTTTTCCCTTTCGTAAATTAGCCATCAGTCTGAAGCAGGTAAATTTGAATGCAGTGTCTCTGGCTTGCGCTGGGTTTGTAAGGAAAAGATCAGCTTAAAATACCAGTTTGGCTTTTGGGAGGGACACAAGGAGAGACTGGAAACCATGCAGTACATTGCTGGAGGTCCCCTACTGGACATCACAGTCACTGCTGGAAAATTAGATGAAGTATATCTGCCGCACTGGATCTGCACAGGTAAGCAGCAAAATATAATAATAAAAAAAGAACAACTTAAATAAGGTTTAACTGCATGTTTGTAAAAACCTTGATGCACTTCTATGCAGATGACATCCCTTCAATATTGGACAAGTTTGCGGTTCTACACATAGATGCCTATGGAGATGTTGTGGAACAAGTGTCTGAGGTCACACCATCCCATGTTAAGTTATACGAACCAGTTTTCTCCCCAAGAGGAGTCCTGATGAAAGCGGGCTTTCCAGTGAAAATTAACTGTAAAGTGTTAATATACAAGACCAACAAAGCCTTCCTCACACTACATGTTTATCTGATCCCTTGTGATCCTGCTCTACAACAGGTTATTGGATATCCTACTGTCACCATATCGATTCATACTTCAAAACACAGACACCAATGTTGGCTACTGGAACCTTGAAGCTTTTTGTCTTTTTTTTTTCCACCACAGACAATAAAAAACAAGGAATTATCCAGTGGATACAAAATGATCCCAAAGCCATACCCAGTGAAGGCCCTGAAAATGCGTGACCGTTTCATTCTCACAGCCGATACGGAGAGTGCAGAAATTTACCCTGAAGTATGGTTTGAACTGTCTTTCAGCTATTAAATCTGAGTGAATTATAGAAATATATATATAATAATGTAGGATGAGAACACAGGAACATGTTGTTCAATGGTAAAAAAAACCAACGTAATATCTAATATAACTGAGATGATGTTGCTAAGAGAGGTTGTTTGTGCTGATTATTGATAGCCTGTTATTATTTTTATCATCATTGAAACAAACTTAAAAATAAAGTCTTATCTTGTTATCACACTAAATTGGTATCTTGAGATAAACAAACAGCAATAGTTTGACATTTGTTAACATACTGTCTTACTTAAAGTTAGATGTCAGCACACTAGAAAAGACTAGAAATGGGGGGAACTAGCTACACTGGCTCTGTTCCAAAGTAACTGGCCACACCGCCTACTTCTACCTTCCTCACTGAACTGCTGCTGCGGTGCATCTTGTTGAATCTCTAGATGACGCCCTGCTGCAGCTGTGCCTGAATCACGCTGCTCACGTGGGCTGTGTGGCTGCTCCAACCTCTTAATGTGGGCGCCAAATGAAAAGCTGCTCACCAGGTGGTGTGGCTTGGCCATAAAGCTGAGATATTAACATGTTGTACCTTGTTCACTGCACTTCTCAATCACAACTTCCTGTTTTTACAGTACTGTTATTGTTAGGATTAAACACAAGGATTAATGCTTGGACAGAGCCAGGCTAGCTGTTTTCCCCCATGCTTCCAGTATTTATGCTAAGCTAAATACAGATTATGATTTGAGTGTGGTATCAATCTTCTAAAAATTAAAACACCTTACTTGACAAATTGCATGTGAATTATAACATTTAAAAAATTCGCACAAAGTCTAATTCTGTTCCTTTTTTCCTTTATATGCAGAAATTAAAGCTTGCATATGAAAGCAGTGACCCAAACTTCTTTGAAGTGTTCATTGAAAATCCAGACAGTAACTTCCAGCTCACACTCAGACATCGATCTGGACCAGTATGGACCTGTGCAATTCGAAAAGGTCAGTGGTTATAAATAATTATTATGATACTTTATTTACTCTACCTATATATCGGCGTATTTATCTCAAATGCCTCATAAGTAAACACCTATTTATTTTTTTGTATTTTATTTCAGATGACTACGGTGATGTTCCAGTGATGTACGGTAAGACGCTGTATATGATGATGATGAGTGTTTTGAAGAACTACAGTAGTTTAAGTGTCATAAGAGCTGCTGTAGATTTTTCACATAGAACTGACAAACACAATCTTGCTATGGTGTGATTGGTTTGTTATAAATTAAATTAAATGGTTTAACACTACAAACATTAATACATCGTGATAGCATATATGGTATTCTTTACAGAACCGTGAGATTGTTTATTAAACAGTATTATTAATCATTCAAATATGCTACAGATAATGAATTTAAGACCTTAAAGCTGCAGTAATCACTGAAAATGTCAAAATGTATTTGTTTATTTTCATTTGAATGGATCGTTTTTAAACCCAATGGTACTGATTTCTTTTATCTGACGGAAAAAAATCAATACCCATTTATAAAAAAGTCAAGAGACAATGCATTTCCTGGTTACATGAGCCATATTAATAAATTGTAAGAAAAAAAATTGAATGACCGTGCACCATGAAACCACCTCAAAAGGGTCACAATTTGGGTCTTTTTTTTTTTCTTTTCACTTGTATTGTTTTAGATAAGGAACTTGCCAGCGTGAGGTCTAAACTTGTGGGTAAAATGTCCAGAGAAGTTATCAATCAGCTGCTGGATGACCTTTTAGAAGATGGTGTCTTGAATGACGAGGAGAAAGACTCAATACTTCACAACAACAGGGCAGACAGGGCACGCTGCCTCATTGACAAGGTGAAGAGGAAAGGACACACAGCCAGCAGGAAGATGTTTAAATACCTTCAAAGCAGAGACCCTACACTGTGCGCTGAGCTGGGGCTGCCCTATTACCTGCCTGTTTAGCCAGCTAAGGTTTTAGCAGAACTGGTCAACATTAATGAGCTTGGGAGGCCTTTATCTTATTTTTTATTTGAGTGGTTTGACAAAGTAGTATTATTCTATAATATCAACAATGATTTTAGTCCCTGCAAAGGTCCTGAGCTTTTGCATATCTTTCTGCTTTCTGACATGAGAGGTTCAAAGTGTAGTGCACAGAGAAGTATAATTTAACTTTACAGTGATTCTGTATTTTGGTGTTCCTGCAGTCTACACTCATCCTGCATTGGGGACAGAAAAAATGAAGAAATTCTTAAATCATTATGCAATAAAAGCCATATCAGGTGACTGACAGGATTCACGTTTTTATAATGAATATGTTTAATCAACTCAAAGCACTTGATTAATGCTGCACTAATTAATATTTTGGTATTGAGAATGGATACAATTATGTGAAAGAAGTGACCAAATTAATCATATTGCTGGTCCTTATCTGCTGGATGTGTATAAGCAACTGTTTTCTAACATGTTTGTAAAACAACTTTATATTTTTAACTGTATCTTGTAGACTAAATACATTAAATACATTGCAAAATTAATCTGATGAATGAAAGATTCTTATCTGGGATTTACAAATATTAGTTCAGTTTTATGAAAGTTATGTACTGATTTGTTTTTGTTGTTGGATATAAAGTGCAGTGACTTAAAGGTGGGGTAAGCTAACAGACCGTAACAGATACCATAATAACAAAAGCACAGCAAGTATTGTAATGGATGTTAGCTCTAAAGTGGGTTTGCTAACATGCAGAGAGGATGAGATGGTTTCCTAGAGCCAGCACACCAGCGCCAGACAACGATACACTCACAACTCTCCTGCTACTGTAGCAAACATCACAATAACAACATATCTTGGAAACCTAGAAAGTAAGATTAATGTCTACAGGCAAGGAATTTTACTTTTAATGTTGTGTGGCTCGATCCGATGTTTTTTATGTACAGAGCCAGAGAGCATTTTGGATTAGAGTTGCATTACATAGAATCACTTACCCCACCTAAGTCTAATTACAGTTTGTTGTTTTGTAATTAAATTTTAATAAAATATTTCTTATAAAATGTTGTGGCTGATGGTATTTTTTCTCTTATGGTATCACTATGATATTCATGACATTTAAATTGTATGTTACCGTATTCTTACAACACATTACACAGGTTAATGGGACAGAAATAACACAAAATATATCAGTGGTTTCTATTTATAAAAACAAAGAAAGAAAGAAAGGAGGGTAAAATTGGGGGTTCCTCCTCAACTCAGCTGACTTGCTGAAATTTAAAAAAAATGAAAGTTCCTGAAATTTCGTAGAGATTTTAAAATAGATAGAAACTGGCCATTGGTGGGCAGGAGGTTTTATCTGTACCAGGTGTGGGAAAACATCTGACGCTGATGATCCTTAATGCACGGTAATATAGTTTGAACCTTGCCTTCAAGATAAAGAAAAGCAAAATTAAGTGGTTGGAAGCAGTGCTCGGACTGAGCCACACAACACTAACTTGTGTCAGGTAACGTTAAATTACTTGCCCATGGACACTGAGCTTACTTTGTACTTTGCCAAGATACGCTGTTATTGTCAAGTTAGCCGTAGTAACAGGAAAGCTGTGAATTATCGCTGTCTAGAGCTGGTGTGCTGGCAAAGGGAAACTCATTTCTTCCTCTCTGCATGTTAGTTTCAAAGCAGCAACTTTTACAAAAGGCAGACAGTTTACAAAACTACAACCCTGCTAATGTTAGTTACATTACTTGCTGTGTCATTCTTTGTACTATATCACAGTCTTGGTCTCGTGGTTTTGGATTTCTCCTTAATTTTTAACCCACCTTTAACTCGCTCCACAAAGATCTGATGTAACCTTTCTCACATTACTATATGAAACTAAGTAAATATTATCCCTCCATTGTGTTTTCTGCATTGTTTTACTGTTTGAGGTTTGACTTGTGGTATTTGAATTACTTATCTTCTAGTATCTTCTGACTGGTGATTTGTTACCACCTACTGCTTATTTTGATGAACCAGCTCCAAATAATTGCATACCAGCAGTGGTTAGAAACAAGCATTCATTCGCATTTTCTTTTGCTGATTTACTTAAAACTCAGTTCAACTTTGCAGTACATTTGGATGGAAACACACTAACTCAGACTAATCTCACTGTGAAATTAATGATAACAACTGTTTGTGCTTGTCTACCACAAAGTAGGGAATCCTGCTCTTAACTGCCTCACCAAAAGCTCACAGTCTAACATGCCTGCAAATACATGACGGTAGTTCTTGTTGAATAAAGCATAGAGGAAAGGGTTCAAAGAAGAGTTAGTATATCCAAGCCACATGGAGGACTCCAGAACCAGGAGGCTGATGCTGTAGGACTTCAGAGGATGGGCTGTATTAAAACATAAAAAAAACAGAACAGGAAGTGTCTTAACAGCCCTATGTTCCTTCTTCAGAGAATGTTTTTCCACATGAGCCTGGACTTGTCTGGTGGAGTCAGTCCTCAGGGGCACTGGTTCATCTAACGCTGCCCAGTATAGTAATCAATGGTGCATGGATCCACCTTGCTTGTCCCTGGGCTGCCTTTAAGATTTTACCATAGTCAAACAGCATGAAACCCATGGGAATGAAGAAGGAGATAGAGGTTGCAAAGGCCAGATGAAACGTGGCCAGACAGGTTTTGAGTATCCTGCTGAGTGCTGCTGCTTGCCACGGCAAGAGGCAACTGAGTGTACATGCAGAGGGAGATGCAAAGGGAGGAGATGACCAAAGGCAGAATCCAGCAGAGCCACATGCCTAGGAAACATTCGGACCTATGGATCAGTCCAGTGCCACGCAGCTGAGATTAAACATGGAGGACATACAGAAGGTGATGTCCAGCAAGAAGTGTGCTCGGGCAGAAGAAGACAGCTGCCGATGCAACGCACCAAACTGAAAGGCGTCACCAGCACAGCAAACAGGAAGTCCGCCACTATCAGGAAAACCACTAAAGCATTGGTGGATGTCCAAAAGCTTTGGAAATGTGCCACTGTAACAGAGATGAAAAGATTTCCTTTCATGGCAAAGATGGGGATGTGTAGAAGGCACAGCACACAGACTTTAACAATGGTGCTCTGAAATCAAGCAAAATTGCTGCTGTCATTAATCAGGCTGTGGTTATCTGAGGTGTCCAGCATCGAAATCACCATCAGCCACTCAATATAAATCCATTTAGGTCTTCAAGTGGATGCCTTTCCCTTTCCCTCCAGTGCCGATCATGTCTCACTGGTTAATCTAAAACTCCCTCTGTTCCTTCACCATATGGAGCTGCATGCAGACTCTGTCTATGTCAAGTATTGATCCACTGACAAAACAAAGGCCATCAGGAGTAAATAATTCCCTGGGATGTACCAGAAGTCAGTGGACCATGAGGTAAGTGAACAGATACAGTTAGATGTCTCATGGCTGACCTGTCTACATAAACAATAAACCCTCAGACTGATCTCTTGTCACTGGAAATGTTCTTCTAAGTAACAGCCTAGTGTTTGCTCTTCACCTCAGACACTCAATACTGAGCCCGTCTCTTCACTCAGGACACAGCCCAACTTAAAACAAATAACATCCATTGATCATCAGACTGACATCTAAGATAATATATAATGGTCATTTCTTTTCACATCCAGTAAGTAGAGTTACAGAGAGAGTTTTGCCAAAAGTACCATTTGAACAACGTTCTAAGTTTATTCATGTTTCGATCACATTTCTAATATTGACATTCATAACTTTTTGAACATCAAACATACAGACAAGATCATATCTGATGATTGTGCGCACAGCAGATAAACCAGGTTATATTTTATTACCACAACATACCATGAAGATATCAAGTGACTGCAACAGAAAGGTGATCATTTGTCTTATCACACATTTTACACAAGTCAGGTTCTTGGTCATGTTCAGTCTTTTTACAGGGCAGAGATGGATTTTGATCTGAAGGGGGTGAAGGGAAGGCTGTGAAAATGTGTCCTTTTTCCTTTTTAAATTAATTTTTAGTTTAATCAAAAAGCATGCACTGGTGTTCCAGTCCCAAAGAGGACAGCAAACAGTTATTTTGTCTTGAACTCTTGAACTCCTTCCTGTCTATGTCAACCACAGCTACAGTAACATAGACAAAATACTTCTGATACAGCAGCATAGTCAGTACTCTTCACCTCACATTGACCACTAATGACAATAAAAATCCACTGACTGACGTATGATCACAGGACCATGTACAGTGACTGCAGCAAATCTGTGAAACCCTACATCCACGCTCTGTTTGTGACTTTAATCCCTGTAAGGAACTAACAAGTCATGTCTCAGTAAGACTCAGCAGTCACACCTTGTCATCAGGCATCATGTTGTCCTGGTTGCCCTTATTTCGATTCTTCCCAAAGGAGAAAGAGAAGACACCGCCAGACATCTCTTCAGCTTGTTTCCCTCCTCTTACCTGCCCTCTAAGAGCTCCCAGCTGGCAGTCTGCGGGGCTGCCAGGCAGCAGGTTGGGTGTGGAGGGAGTCGGGGTAGTGGCCCCCCAGATGTATAATGTTTCCCCTTCAGGGCAAGGTTGGAGACCCTTGCTCAGGTAGCTGGGGCTTGGACTGGCTGAGGAGGGCAGGGTACGCTGGCTCCCGTTCAAGCAGCTGGAGTTGTGATCCGCTGAGCCTTTGCGTGAGTGTCCAGACGAGCTGAAGTTGGAGGAACGGTAATTGTATGCCCTCCAGCCGGGACGTTTACGCTGATGACACTGGCATCTCAGGATACGAATGAAGGCCAGCTTGAACTCACGGCTGTAGCAGGGGTAGATGATGGGATTCAGACAGCTGTTGAAGTAGCCCAGCCAGAAGATCACTTTGAAGAGGACATCAGGTAGGCGCAAGTTCACATTAAAAGAACCTGGAAACATAGAATAGAGAGAGAGAATTTTTTTTTTTATATTTAATTCAATCATTAGTGGGCAGTGGCTTTGTACAGAAGCCCTTAAATTGTGTGTAAATAGTTTTTTCTGTCTCTCTTTTGAGTGAAAACTAGTTTTGAAAAAGGAGGATTTTCACCCACTTCTTCGCACCAATCAGAATTTATCAAGATTTAAATCAAAATGGGATGACAGTTGTGGGGTTGTTGCTTATGTTGGTGGCACTATCAAACAAATCTGATCAAACCACACAGACAGTGCAGATGAGTGATTTGTGAGTATTTGAGTGTTAAACTCAAATAATACTTACAAATGTTTTTTCTAACTTTAACTTTAATGGTTGTTTATTTAGTCATGAATAATACTTAAGACCAGACAAAAAAAACAAGGACCAGTGTGTAGGATTTAATGGCTGTGAAGTTAACCAGCTAAACTCGTCTTCCAAGCGTATAGGTGGCCTGTAGTTTCTCCTATGCAAGAGTTGCCAACCTGCTAAGACTAAATGAAAGTCACTGAAATACAGAATTTTTGAATATTGATATGTATGTTTATTGTGCGCAGTATTGAATCCATAGAGCTTGACGGTTACTAGTTTTTCCTTTAGCTCTGTTGATCCTCTCTATGACTGCAGGTTATATTTTACCCAGCAGATGGCAGCATTGATTAAGAATAACAGAGGACTTCACAGCGAAACTGTGGGCAGACAGGATGTGAAGCCCAACAGCGAAAGACCAGAGAGGGCATGAGTTATTTATCATTAAGTAAAGACTTTATGCTTCCTTTTCTAAACACGATGCAGCCGCTCTGTCACAGTTCCTCTGGAGGACTCAAGAATAGAGAGAGGGTGGGATGATCCTGATTTCCCTTTCAGATAAACACACTGTGGGAGAGATGCTTCGCTTCGAGCAAAGGGTAGCTTTTTAAGTTGAAGTTAAATAGCAACTTTTCTGTAAGAGGTTACACTGCCACAACAAACCTTCCCTTTCTTGCACCTGCAGATCAAGGAGCGTTGCCTTTGGGAAGATAGGATGTCAGTTAGATTCAACAAGACTCCCCCCCACAATTAGAGGCAATCCTAATGATTACAAAGGATTCTAAAGCAAGTTTTCTGTGTATGCTAGTGAGTGAGTTCAGCTTGTGTTAAACTGCAGTAACCTGCCCTTGTGGTGCTTTCCCTCCTCCCGTGGCCAGGCTTAAATAGAGGAAGAATATTTTACAAGCTAATGAGGTTAGAGGGGAAGCTTGGAGATAAAAACAGGGAATTTATAAGCAAGTGTAAAATTGGTGTGAAAGTTTGTGTGTTGGTGTGTGTTTGTGTGGGCAGATGTGAGTAAAACTGTGTTTCTCTACACCAACCCACATTTTTAAATTAATATCTCAGTCCTGGAGAGGCTGAGGATGCACTATAATCTCAGGCTTTCAAGTGTGAAATTACCTCTGGTAAAATATTATAGGCAGACAGATAAGACACCTCAGCATGGTTCTTCATGAATATCAGATCAATAGCATTACCAACTATTTCAAGCGATACAAGGTTAATTATTTAGTACATAGCCAAGGGATTAAATGTATTATTGGCTGCAAATAATGATAACAGCCTGAAGGGAGTTGTGTCCAGTTAATGAGTTAAAAACAAAAACATCCCACATTGTTTTGGTTTGATACCATAAAAACCTGCGCATAAGTGCAACCATGCAAACTTGACAATTTGACAACACAAAGGCGCGTGCACACACACAATGCTCAAATTTGTTAACCTAGAGGAAAGTGATAAGAAAGTGATGTGACAATATATGGAAATGTTACTTCCAGCTTTCATATAACTCCTGAAACCACTACAAGCTGTGTGTGTGTGTGTGTGTGTGTTTGTGTGTGTGTGTGTGTGCGTGCGTGTGTACGTGATAAAAACTGTAGATGAATGGGTCTCTTCTTAGTGCCTGGTATTTTCACATGCTATTTTCGCTTCTGGACAGCCACTTAAACGTGATTACATAACCGTGTGAGTTATGTCTGTTATTAGGATACAAAGTACGATGTGGAATTATAACTTGGTCATTCTCTCATTTCTCAACCTGTCTCTCTCTTTCCGTCTCCCATTGTCTGTCTGTCTCTTTTTGATGATATTGGGTTGCAAATTTTGATAACTGCCTGCATAACAAGTCAGATTTTTCTCTTGTTCCCATCTCGCAGATTAAATAAAGAAAACACAAATAATGAATACCCAATGAAAGATAGAAACAAGCATTTATATATACTACTATATACTGAGCAAATCTGTGATTTTTACTGTTACTGTTTTTTACTGACTGACCATAAATCAACATTTTTTTAAACAGATAACTGTATTACTGGTAGTGATTCTTGAGAAGAAGGCTATGTGCTGCTTCAAAATGTCCCAAAAAAGTTTGTTAAATCATAAACAAATATTTATATACTCTGTACTAGGACTGATACTGGCATTTCTTCATTATCCATTTATCTAACAACATTTTTTTTCAATTAATGTACAAGAAAATTTGAAAAATGTCCTTAAAAAATTGCTTTACCCCAAAGTGACAATGATATTTTTTTTACTTATGGGTCTAAAAAACACTTTTAATTTGTAATTATCTAAACAAAAGAAAGCAGCAAATCCTCACAATAGTGAAGCCGATACCAAAGAATGTTTTGGCTTTACTTAAAAACTAAATTTACTTATTGATTAATTTAATCTTTTTTTCAGCTTTTTTCGATGCCCAAATGTATAAATTGCTTCTTACTTGTCTTTCTAAGTCTTTCTATATGTACTGTGAGTCATTTATAAAACTTACAGATGGGATATGACGGGGGGCATCTACCAGGACAAACACATCTTTGTGGCTCCGTCTGGCTGCCAGGAAGGGCCCCCTGTACGTCTAAGAGGCCCAAAGACCAAAAGGTGGGTCACTGCCTGCATAGTGTGTGTAGGAACTAGAAAAAAGTCAACAGATCTTCCTGTGGCCAGATATGGTACCTGATTGTGTGTTTAAGTTTTGTGTGAACATGGTCCATTTTTGTCCCTTGAAGAGTGTTTATGTTGAAAGGCTATAGAATAAACAGAAGACGATACAAGGCCTTGGTTGAAAGACAATGGTATATTGATAACTGCGGGAGGGATTGTTGTTGGTGGTCCTGCCCCTTCTGTTAAGAGAAATGTTTGCACCTCCTTCCTCAGGACAGGCACACGTACACACATCTCACTATGAAACACAGGAACATCTTAACAAAACAAGGCATCCTGTTATTCTTGCTAATTGGAAGAAGCAATGCCTATTCTGTGCCATGTAGACCGCACGCACGCACACACACACACACACACACACACACACACACACAATCTGCTCTCCGAAAACTCACACGTCCTGTTTCATACACACCCATAAATATGATTAATATGTCTTTATCTAAAAGGACAGAAGTGTTATTGCCCTCGCAGATTTCTTTCAATGAAATCGTAGCATGAAGCTATTTCTGGAAAATTGCGTTGACATCCCAGGGACCCTCACTTTCACCCCCACTGCCCTGTGGCCCCTCCAGCTCAGCTCTGCCATCTCCTTTCATCTTCATCGCTTTGACACTTAGCACTCTCATTATTTCTCCCCTTCAAAAACCATTTCATTAAACCACTCCCTCCCCTGCTAAGTGTGGGGGCCGGCCAGCTCATGTAACAAAAAAACATGCACACGCTCACTTGCACGCAGACCCAGTATCTCTTCCAAAAACACATAAACAATTAGTTAACACCCCAAAGTGTTGGTTCCTCTCACGTACGGGCTCGCACCAGTTGCTATTTGTGAGGCCTTCACAGGACATTGGTGCCTGCGCTGGGTGTTAAAGAGCTGCAGGACAATGTGTGCAATGAAACAACATGAGTATCCCCTGGGGACTGACGATTTCTCTTCAGCTGAGTGTCGAGCAGAGAACATGAGAAAACAGCTCATTGAAACACTGAAATGTAGACGAGTCTCTCCTCTGAGACCTTTAATGTTCTCCACGTTTTAAGAGTATAGAAAACCACTTTTTCTACACTTTATGACAATGCTTTAATGCTTATAATAGTTCTATGTATGTTTCCTTATCTTGGTTTGGCTTTGTTGCTCATTATGCAATTAATCGATTAGTTGATGAACAGGAAATTAATTGGCAGTAATTCTGATTAACAATGAACCTTCAATTAATCAAGCTGCTTCTAAAATGTGAGGATTTGCTGCTTTTCCTTGTCTCTTTGTCTTATGTCATAGAGTTTTCGAGTATGAAGGCAGCACATTGGGCATTTTTCATTATATCCTCACTTTTTATACACTGAACAATGAATCAATTAATCTAGAAAACAACTGGCAGAATAATTCGGTAATGAAAATTAGTTAGGTACAGCTACGGCTGCATGTTTGTGTGCAGGTGTAGCTGCTGACAGCTTGTGTTTTTTTTCTGGTATTTTTTGAGTGTTTTTTGAAGCAATATTGTGCGAATAGTTAGTATTATAAACATCTTTATGTTTTCTTTTATCAGGCAATTTATTCTGTTTTTTAATTTGGCCCTTATAAAAGTCAAAATCAATCAAATTTAGTGTTAAAAAGTATTCTGACCTAAGTTTTTTATGACTGCTCTATAACATCAAATTGAAATATTTAATATGTTGCGCATAATTTCCACATTTCCTTCTCAGTCAGCATGAAGTACATTTCATGCTTGGAAAACTGCTCAACATACTGTAGTAATAGAGACCTGCTGGTGGGACAGTGTCAATAAAATGACATTATTGTCAAAGATAAAACCGCTCCATCAAATATAAGATATATAAATATTGTGAAACTTTGGCTGCTTTAATCTCGCCTGGCCCTTGAAAAAGCCTTTTTTGGTCACTTTCGGCACTAGTCTGATTATTACAGTGTAATTAAGCTGTTATGGTGTCATTTTTTTTCAAAATGTGATACAAGAATGTGTGTTATGAAATAACTTTAAGTTTAGATATGTCACCCTTACTGACAAACAAGCTAAGTTGGACACCACTCAGAGAGCGTGTATAAAATTTTGGGCTGCTTTTTGTCCAAGGACGCTTGCCTAGAGTAACACTAACTTAAAAACTTTGATGTAATGTTTATAGTCTTGAAGTCTGTATACCTTACTTTGCTCCAAGTTAAATGCGTAAAAGGAGACACTGAAGAGGAATGACTCGAACTGGACTGCTAGCTGCATCTTTGCCATTTATGTACAAAAACAAAAACAAGGTATTTACAGAATTTGAATCTGTCAAGTTAGCCAGTTATAATGGAGAGAGTTCACATATTTCTTTAAGCTGCATATGGTCTCAGGTTGAAGCTTCAGGGGTCAAAGGTTGCAACGGCTCTTTCTGGCAAATTGCAGCCTCGGTTTCAACACGCATTTAAATCTAGCGAAGAAGCTGCAGCCACACTGACACAATCACTCAAAGCACACATGAACATACTTTCATACATGCACACATATATTTTCAGCATCCTTTGACACAAATTAAACTTTTGCCATCTACTGCCACCAGCACACACACACCGCCAACCAGAAACCCCCACATACGTTACATATCAGTGACAGTGTGGAGAGGAAGGAGCAGGGTAATAACAAGTGTGAGACAGGAAATCCCACTCTGTGGGTGGAGGCTAATGAATACTCAGGGTGCAACACCGCTGCCCTGTCAGAGTTTTAGTAGTTAAGTTCATACGGGAGTTACACAAGAGAGAGCAAAGGCACAAACTTAAATAAAACTCCTTTTGGAAACAAAGAAGGCTCCAATGTTGGGGAAAAAAGCAGTTTCAAGTGTATACTTTGACAAAGTGGAAATACTGTTTATACTAGTTACGGCATTCCCCACCAGAAGACTGCTTTTTCATTCAGTGAGGGCAGTTACAAATTAGCATGAAATAAGGTTTTATGGTGCTTTGTCACAGTGTATCAGTATGCTACACCAGACACTGTACAGAGAAACGTACCCTCCGGGGTTTCTTGGCAGTTTGTTGATTAGTGTTACATAAACAGGCCCCTCCTGAACCTCAAATCTGCCTCATATCTGCTCTCAGAAACCTCTCAGATCTGAAAACCAGAACTTTGGAAAATTACATTTGGTACGTGCTTATGGTATCTTAGAATGCTTTGAGGCAAAATAATCCCCACTATGTGACCCTGCATAGTGATCTTGCCCCAGGTACTAATGTGTGTGTCCATGTGAGGATGTGATGAGCTGCTGCTTGAAGCCAGGGGGATAAACATATTCCCATATGACCACATGTATGCACACACAGGCACATGTCGACAGACAAACACACGCTCACATATGTGCACAAACTCACAGTACCACGAGGGATCAATGTCCTGGCAGCCAGGGAATCAAGCAAACCATCATCTAAAATACAGCAGCCATGCTTGTAGGTCAGACTCCATCACTTAATGTTTTCTTAACCTCCTTGCCACAACACAGCCAGTGGCCTGAGCGCTTCACCACAGAATATATTGTTTAATTTCCTCTGCAGTTTTTAAATCAACCATGACAGCGGGGTGTTGAATGTGTGCCAGTCACAGTGGCATCAGGGAGCTCCAGTGGGCCCCACAGGCCTCTGAATCAACTGACCAGAGCAGGGGGAAGCCATCTAGTCTTCACTTGGCACGCTTAAGGAGTGTATTTGTTGCACCAAGAGATGAACTGAGACTCAGGGGATAACGCAAAGACAACACTAATAATGTCTGGATAAGCTTCAGAAGAATTCCTTCTAAGCTTCTTAAAAGCATGTTTCATCCCTTACTATGGGCCCTGAAGTTGGAGACTATAATGTCATATAGCTTTGGCGTTGTGGAGTGAATGGTGCAGCAAATTTAAAGTCATAAAATCATCATCATAAAATACGAAGCAAACTAACTTGATTGTATAAACAGAAGCTGTGAAGTTAGAGAAATAACATAGATCAACTCCCACTGCACCATAAATTGAATGCTGCATTAATATATGGGTGATGTTATTTCTTATTCCTGCAGTACAGAAAGACCACTACAGTATATCAAAGCCCACTTGTAGGGTTGGTGGCAGTGCAGAGCAGTGAATGGTACCCAGGAGGCTTTCCCAGTGCCAGCTATTGATATGATTTACAAGGCCTGCAGCAGCCTTTAACTGCCTAATTTTTAACTTCATACATACATTTAAATGACTGTAATATCTTCTCTGCAAGCTCATTAACTAAATTAAGTTTTTAAATTGGAAGGGGGGCTTTGAGGAAAATGAATGAGGGTTGTATTTTTGTAAATGGCCGAACATAAGTTTCATTGATGGCAGTGCGACAGACCACAGTATAAACGACCCACTGAACCTACCTATGGGTAAGGCGAGAAAGAAGGGCAGCCAGCAGAGCGTAAACATGCCGACCACAACTCCCAAAGTTTTTGCCGCTTTCTTCTCCCGGGAGAATTTCAGAAGTTTCACCGTGAGGGAGCTTCTGGCTTGGTGTGCGCGACCCTTGCCGGTGCCTGAGCTGCCGGGGTCCTCCTGCACCTGCGAGCCCTTGTGGATCCTGAGGGTCAGCTCACTAGAGTTCATCCTCTCACGCATCACACCGGCTTCCAGGTTCTTAGTGGTCCGTTTGGCGACTATGTACACCCGGCAGTACATGACCAGAATAACGACGAGGGGGATGTAGAAGGAGCCGAGGGAGGAGAAGAGCGCGTAAAACGGTTCCTCGGTGATGGGGCACACCGTGTCGTCCGGCGACGGTGGCTGCTTCCACCCGAACAGAGGTCCGATGGAGATGACCACCGACAGCGCCCAGACCCCGAGCATGGCCAGCAGAGCCCGCTTCTCCGTCACGATGCCCGGGTACTGCAGCGGGTAGCTCACTCCGATGTAGCGGTCGATGGATATTACGCACAGGCTCATGATGGACGCGGTGCAGCACAGCACATCCACCGCCGCCCAGATGTCACAGAAGATCCTGCCGAACACCCAGTAGTCTAGGATCTCCAGCGTGGCGGACACCGGCAGCACCGTGGTGCTCAGCAGCAGGTCGGCGATGGCCAGGTTGATGATGAAGTAGTTTGTCGGGGTGCGCAGGTGCCTGTTGCACACCACCGAGAGGATGACGAGGATGTTGCCCGCGATGGCGAACACGATAAAAGCTCCAAGCACCAAACCGAGCGGGATGGCTCGGGTGAGATCCACCTCGCTGGGTTCCGTGTGGTTTCCCCCGGAGCTGTTGGTGAAGTTGACCGGGGAGGACGCACCCAGAGTCCCGTCGAGTTCCGCGGAACCATTTTTCCACAAGTTTGTGACATTGTCAGTGCTCAGACTCATTTTGACTCAAGAAGTCCTCCATAGCAGGTTTCAGATCACTTGTAACTGCAACTCACGAAAGAGCTTTACTAAACATAAATAAACCGTCTAAATAGCCAAAGTCTGCATGGTTTAACTGCCTGGTAGCAATTTTGCTTCCAAATCAGCGCTGAGAACAAACGCTCACTGTGCAGCAGTACAGTCCCCATACAGTCCTTCTCCCTCCACTCTCCTGAGGCTCAGTGAAGAAGTGAGGGGGGCAGCAGTCATCTCCTGCCTCCTCTGCACCACACACAGCTCTGCCATGTACTGACCAGACATACCTAAACTCGAGCCTATGAAGCGCGCATGACGCATCGTTACATGAAGAGCCGTGACTCCACAGAAAGCGCAACACATATATTTGCATCATTTTACCCAAACATGCGGGAATGAGAAGAGATTTGTGCGTTTTGTGAGAAGCGCCTCTTCGGTGTCTTGTATTTTTTTCCTCACTGTGGGAGGGCGCTTAACTGGACAATTACAAGTGAAAGACTTTCGAGCCAAAGCCACCCTAACTTTTTTGTCAGCTTGTAGTTTGGAGTCCCATAAATATGACACCATGCTTTAATGGCAGCAGAAAATAAGAGCAGTTATAATACAGAAAACTCAAACTCAAGGTTGAGCATATACTACTGTATGAAATAATATCTACTCCACCTATGTGTGGTCCTCAGACATATTTATGATGTTCAGGCACGCAGCTTAAAAGGTTAAGCCTTAAAGGTCAAATTAAGTAAGTTCAAAAGTTGATAACAAAATCACATACAATCCCCTCTGCTATAGCAGGTATTTATCTCCTATTTTGGTCAAATGCAGGAGTTCCTCAAAGTAACCTCATTTTGGATATGAGCTCAGTTAGTGAGGAGTGACTTAATGGACTGAGTTCAGAAACATGCACATTCCTAAAACTGAGGTTTCTGCTGGTTAAGAGCTTTTTGACTACTGATGATCGTGAACACTGGTAGAGGACAAAATACCAGCAAATGTTTCTTATGATAACCTGTGAAAGAACTGTAACCTTTACGATTCAATGTAAAAAAAAAAAACACAAGTTCCCTCTCATACAGAATCTTTTAAGCTCTGTTAAGCTGTTTTGTATTCATCCACCAGGAGGAACTTTAAGATTTACGACCACTCAGTGTCATGTTTTTTTATTCTTCCTCGTTAATATTTATTAGAAACATAAAACAGTCTTTATACTCTTATGGTTCAATTACTTCATTGTCTTTTTTACCAGGAATGTTTAGGTTAACTTTTGAACCAGGTTTTCTCAAAGGTCTGAGACATTGTTAGAATTTGAATAGATTTAATTAAAACCAGTATATTCAGTGAGTTTATTCTCAATATTCATTCTCCATTCTGTAATAATATTAAGCTTCTCTAGAAAGGCACTTATAGCGTGAAAGGTGTTGTTTTTAATCCAACCAAAACCTTGGCCTCTACTGTGTTTCTTAACTAGCTTTACTTTTTCATTAACTTCCAGCATTTACCTCCTTATTTCACTGCTGCGCTCATCAAGTTTTTAATGCTTCCATAACAGTATGTGTAAATTATGGTGTGAAGAACTGGAGAAACACATTGTTAAAATTATGTAAAAACTAAATGTTTCATTCTCTGAGATGTACTTGTTCCTGATGATTGATGTACCTAATAAAAGTTGCATTATCATAAAAGTTTACTTTTAACAGCTGAACTGTAATTTTGCACATTCAGAAGACTGGACAGCATCTGTCTCCACAGACACACGGAAACACAAACCAAGAGCAAAGGAGAAAGTAAAAGCATTTATTTATTTTCCTAGGCTCATTTCAAAAGGTTTATGCTTAAATTATATTCCAAAATAAATAAATAAAACACAGGAATGGAATAAAAAAGAAAAGAAATGAATGAATGTCTCTTTGGTGTTCACCTCCACCTTCCTCTCAATTATGTCCCTCCCTTAAAGATTCTCTGGGGAGTTTTTGACCCCTAGTAGCACCGTGGAGCTGTTCTTCTGGGTGGGTCCCTGTTTGTTTGGACGTGCGTGCATGCACATGGTTTTACACTACAGGTGACGGCGAGAGGCCAAGATATGCTAAAAAAGACAGAGAAGAAGATTTTCTGAGTGACACTGAATGTAAACATAACTTTTGTTGGTTTATAAGGAAACTCTACAGAAGCCGCCTATATGTTAACTGTGCGTCCTCCAAATCAGTTTTGAGTGTGTTCATGGAAAAGTTGTCATCAGAACAACAAATTAAATACTTAATGTGATGAGAAATTAAATTTAGCCACAGGGAGATTTGGTTTAAGTGACAGTGGTGAAAGTTATAGATTATAATGAGAAGCTATACAAACAAATATTAAAAGTAAGGTTATCAGTTTAAGTGCAGGAATGATTATATATGTCTTTAGTTAAGAGTGACAATTTCTTTTATGTGATGCACATAAAGTTAAAAGTAATGTAAGACTATTTCAGCTGCAAAAGAGGAAAGGAGAGAGGAGAAAAAAGTTATCTTCTTAATGCCTGATAAGGTCTATCTGACCCTAATGTTGGAGCCATGGATGTGTGTGTGGATAATTTTTTTCTTAGTTTTTATTTCCAATTATCATCACCAAATGGATTTGTTATTCTAAGCTACAGTGATACAATAAGAGTGTAAAAGCAATCATCACTGTCAGGAATGCAATTAAAATACAGCTATAAACATTTAGTGTCATGAACTATTCCTTCCTTAAGCCCGAAGAAGTAAAGTGATTCAACCGATCTTTTAATATTGCTCTTTATTACTTTTACTAGTCAGGATCCTGTAGCAATGATGACTGTTTTTCCATCTGATTGGTTAGTCTGATGGCAGGTTTCGATTTAATCCTGTAAAGGGAATAAAGTTAATCTGACCCACGGCACCTTTAAGTTTCTTCATGTTGGTCAGTCTCTATTTGTTTTATGTGTTTTTATTTTTGGGTTCATGTTGGCGACAAGAGATGCTTGGATTTTGATCACATGAAGCAGGATTATTCAGAGTAAACCTTTAGTAGATCTTCTTGGTGTCAGATCCAGGTAAATGTACATTTCATAATGTAACTGCAGTATAACAGGCAAGACCCAACAGAATAAAACACATAACAAAGCCTGTGTGCAGTCCGACCTCTTCAGTGTGAATTTTTATGACTTTTAGGAACCTGTTTGGTCACCAAAATATCTTTAAAGGTCAATTTAAAACATCTAACATGAAATAACAACAAAAATAAGATTCATACAGGCACCTTTAGAGCTCAACAAGACCTCCAGCTGCAGACAAAGAGATCCCTAATTTTATTTTCTTTACAGTGTGTGGTAGCATTCCTTCAGAGAGGATTAGACATTAGACGCCCACGCAGTCTTTCAAACCTTCAACAGACACCACAGCACTCCGTTATTATGAGCATCTTTCTTAAAAGATGAATCACCTGGAATTATATCATTTCATATCTAAGACCGGATTTTAGTGCTGGGATGAAGTGCCCATTACACTTGATTGAATACACTGAGCTCTCGAATAACATAAAAGCTTCTGTTGCTTAGCATGCTGCCAAGGGCTCTGGGTTAGAGAGAAGTTTCATCTTCAACAGGAGCGCCCTCCATCTTTCTGTGTGCTTCAGTGGTGAGGATTTGCCTCAAGTTTAAGAGGATCAACTTTTCTTCTTGGCAGGACAAGCGATATAAATCTCGAATTACATAAGACACGGAGCAATTTGATTTCTTTTTAAAGACATAGCTCCTAGTTTTGTGCAGAAATTTGTCGTTATTTCAATCATTAGTCAAATGAGATTAAGGAAGATGTTTTTTCTAGATTGCAGATAAAGACATTTCCACATTTAGAATAGTTTGTTTTGTTATGTAGAGATTTATTTGTCTGTACTTTGTCTGTCAAACTCAAGTAACTGGAGGAAGTTTCCAGTTAGACGTGGCTCATAATGCTAAAAACAATAGTGCAATTCATTTCTGGGAAACTTCCAGATCTTCTGAATTAAAATTGTTTGGGTTTAGTGATCTTGGCTGGATGTTTTTTCCTGCTGCGAAGAGTTAAGACGTGAAAGGTGAGAGTCTTTTCTTTGACCTTGTGTTTCTGTTCAAGGCCTGACCTCCAACCGGTCTGGTCACGACAATGCTGTGCTCACTGACACCAGATGTTCAGTGTTATCCAGTTCAACAAGAGACACAGATCCTTTTATCATCAAACTGAAAACACGGGGCTGATTTAGGAGCAGCGTGTAGTGGTTTGACAGTATGACAGATTTTCTGCTTATCGGACATGAAGCAGATAATGACAAACCAGTTTTGCATTCAGGTCTTAATTTAAGTGCAAGTAACAATACATTATTTTAAAAATAAAACATAATGAGTAAAAGTCCTGTATTATTAAATGTACAGTATTATCAGCTAAATGTATTTAAAAGTAATAATACTCTGGCCCCTGTGACTGATTATTATCATGTATGATTTTATTATATTTTTAATATTACTATATATATAAGAAGAACTTTACTGTTACATTTGGCGGGTCATTAATTAATTCATTAATGTAGTAGAAAAGATGAAATAACTAAGTTCTGCTACACAAATTTGTATTCATGATTTAGACTTTTCTTTGATTTATGTGAAATATTGGATCATTTTATCTCTTTAGGTTAGAACTGCTGAAAACTGCTGTTATGTAAAGGAAACGATTCATTGTATTCTGTGAGCTTATCATATATTTTAATGTAAAATTGAAAGCTTACAGTTACTACATAGTAACTTGTAGTACAATATTTCCCTCTGATATGTATTGAAGTGCAAGTATAAAGTAGCATAAAATGGAAATACTAAAATGGAAGTACCTTGAACACTGTGCATAAATAACACTTGAGTAAATTGCCTACTTGGTTACTTTCCAGCACTGTGACAATTAACTCAAAGAAAGTTAGTTTGAAGTTGATGTAACTCAAATAGCTTAAACATATAATCACTTTCCGTTAGATTTTGATCCGACTGGGCAGAGGAAGACTGCCAGCAAAAGGGAGCACAGACACTCTTAGAATTAGAAGAAGAAGATCCTCGAGGAACCTTCTGTGGTTCATTCATTCATTATCACCACTGTGGAGGAATCTTCTGTGGTTCATTCATTCATTATCACCACTGTGGAGGAATGTTCTGGGGTTCATTCATTCACTATTACCACTGTGGAGGAACCTTTTCAGTTCAAAAAAGTTCTTCAAGGAACTTTGAACAAATTAAAATCATCATTATTTTAATGATTTAGATTCATATTGTTGTCCCCTCCCCAAGCATGAAGGAAAAACTATGGTGGATGTAAAATGCGTGACAATGTGAATGACCCTACCTAGAACCAGTGTTGGGTTTGTCCCTTCTGGGATACTGTAGAAACATAGCAGGTATACATGGTTGACTCCATGGAAGTCGACCCACAGTGTCTGGAGATAAAAATAGCTCGATAACAAAACGATATATTCAGGTGATTATACACTAATAAAAGCATACTTATGAATATTATACTGCATTCTGCCAATAGATCCTGCTAAATCTC